ATGTGTAGGGCTCCAAGGAATCTCACTTCCCTTTGCTACTCCAGGGACTGCGTCAGGGCGCCCTGCCTTCAACCTCAAGCTCAGGTACGCTGTGTCACATTCTGGGAGCTGAGCACCTGCTCGGGTGGCTTAGAGCAAGCAAAACACTCTGAGTACTCACTGGGAAGAAGTATCCAATGCAGTGTGGACAACAGCCAACTCTGCATTTGTCGAGGGTACAGAGAGGTACATGTGCCCTTGCTAAGTCTCATGGGTGGAGGTACACAGGACACATTCTCCTTGGGGTTGAGATCTGAGATGGGCTGGCATCCCCGTGCCCTCTCCCTGACTTAGAATTCTCCAGAGGTTTCCTCTGTGTTGCTTCTTGCACTGCAGCTGGCTACCACAAAGCAATGCATTGATGCTCTATGACTCCATTTGGTTACTAACAAATGAGTAAGACACAAAATGCTAAAATGTAATGTAAACATCCTAAATGAGGATAATCTAGCAGCTTGGTTATGGGGGGCCTGGTCTCTGCCAAATCCCTGGCTATTCCTACTCCATAGAAATGAATAGAACAGAGAATAAATAAATAGAAGCAAATCAATAGGCCAAAGGTTGTGTCTACCCAGAACTGATTGAATAGCTGCCATCAATGAGCTTGAATGCTTTCTTTCTTCAATGACTCACCCATCAGACTGAACTGAAACTAAAACCCAAGCATGTGGCTCTTCAAAATCATCATCATCATCATCATAATGCTTGGGAGACCCCCTCCAAAACACGCACAGTGGCCCTGAGCCAGATGCCTGAAACCAGGAGCCAGGAATGAAAGCCAGGTCTCCCCCATGGGCGGAAGGGACCCAGTTCCTTGAGCCATCACCACTTTTCCCAGGAGTCTGCATCGGCAGGAAGCTGATGTTGGGGGGAGAAACCAGGGCCAGAATGTGGGCACTCCAGTCTTGGGCAGAGGCATCTCCACTGTGTCCAGACAGCACAGGCCATTCGCTGGCTGGCTATGGGCTTCTTGTGGCAGCTAGATGCCAGGCAGCTCTCATTCACTCACTCACGGAAGAGACAAATGGTGCCTTTCAGACCGAGTCTGCTGCTGTGTGTGGGATCTGCGCCTGTGTCCTCTTCGCAGCAAGCACGACTTGAGTTTGAGTTGGTGAGCCTGGCTTTCACCTAGTACAGCAGTGCAACGTGCCAAAATGAACACCGTGTGGGAGAAAGACCTGGGTGGGCCGAATCTCCAATAAAAACAGTCTTAAGGCACTGGCAGGTCAAGGCTCTGGACACTAAGACCAAGGGTGGGCAAAGTAGAACAACTATAGGTGCAAATGTGAGCGCATAGGGATATGTTGTGATTGCTAGGCCAAGGTCATGATCAATATTTATTTTCTTGCTCCATGAAGGAGCTTGGGGTACACAAACACTGCCACACATGCAACAGTTTCCCACGGCCTTGGATGTGCCTGGTGGGGGTTATGCATCCCCTCCTTACTTCCCTACAGGCCCTTTATCACCTGCACTCTCATGTGGTTCTATTGTTGGAGCTCAGAGCAGGAAATTAAACAGGATTCAATATTTTACGTGGTATTATTTTCACCATGCTGAACTGAGTCCCCTTTGGATCTGCCACCCACAGCTGGGCTTTCGTTCTCTCCAAGCATGCAGATTGAAAAACTTCCTCTCTGTTGACTTCTAGCGTGAGCCACCCGCACAGCCTCCGTGGATAGCTAAGAGTCCGTGACAGACAAGAGCAGCTATGCCCAGGCACTCAAAGTGCAAAGTAAGACCGCTGTGTCTACAACCCCTGCCTGCTTCAAGGGACGATATAAAACAAACTAACAACTCACAGTCACATATCCATTTGTAGTAAAATCTCCCACCTTCAGGAGCCAAGAGGGTGATTTTGTTTTATAAAAGGGAAATGGGGTTTGTTTTAATAAAGATACACAGTTGCTAAGTCTTGGATTATTTTCCAATGATTTTCTTCCTAAAGCTGAGCCTCGGCTGACAACCCAGTTATAACTCCCTAATGCTGATAATTATCTGTAGCAAAATAAATACAAATGTCTGGGTTAATGAGCACTGAAACAGGATCACGTCTGGGCACTACATTTTCCAGGAACAAAGGACACAATTGTTGTCTACTGACCTACTGAATGGACCAGATGGGGTGCGGGACAGGGAGGAGCTTGTACTTGGGGGCTTGTTCAGGACGGAGCTCCACAGAGGTCCCCACTGGGCTGTCTTTGATGAGGGTGCTGGAGGGTAACAGCTCCTTCCATTCCTCAGTCCTGGTGACACCCGCATGGCGGTGGTGGGATCCCAGGGAGCCTATGCACTCCCGGCAGGCTTCTGCTTTCCCACTCATTCCATAAACACCGAGTCCACCGATATTCCTGGCATCTATGTGCAGCACCAGCTGCTCATGCTCCGGTGCTTGTGAGGGTTATGCATGATCCCATTCTGCTGATACTGAAGTTCCGGACAAAAGTTCCGGAAGTGGCCCTGTCTGAAGGGCTGCAGGGGTCATGGCTTAAATTTACAAGGCAAAACAAGTTCCAATGGTGGGATAACCAACTCTGAAATGTGGATGGGCTTTGCTTTGATTGGGGACACTAGGTCAACTTTTGGGGGATGCCTTAGGACCCCTCAGGAGGTCTGCAATGTTTCCAAAAATAGGCATTTTGTGCTTGATCTGTCTCCACTTGGAATCAGGAGTTCTGCTTTCAACACTGAGATGGAGTTCTGGACAGCTGCTAGTCCTTTCTTGGTCTCCCCGTTCTGTTGAATGGGGGCTCTCTCAGCTGTGTCTACCTTGAAAAAGGAATGAGACTCACTTTTCCCGGTGGAAGTCCACGTATTTTGACCCATCATGAGACTGGAGTTCCAGCATGACTCCGCACCCAGAGTTTTATTTTCACACAAAGTTCAGGCTCTTGTCCTACGGCGAAGTTTCTTATAAGCTTTTTATTTTGTAATCATTTTAGATTTAAGAAAAGTTTCAAAGGTAATACAGAGGGCTTTCTCACGTCTTCTTTCATCGTCTTATCTTATGTAACTACAGTCCACTTTGAAAACATAAAGGCCAGTACTGACATATGACTACTAAAAAGCAACAAGCTTTGTTCTAATTCCACCACTTTTTCAACTGAATTCTTCTTTCTGTTCCAGGATTCAGTCTAAGTTACCATTCTATACTAATTTTGTGTTTATTTGATTATTTATTTATTTCACTATGGACTATATTTAGTTATCTTATACTTTGACTAATAAACTGGCAAAGAAAAAGCTGAAATTTGAGAAATATGAACCTAGAGTATGACTGAGCTTATATATACATGAATAAATATGTAAACCTATGTATACATATACAACATACTATATATTCAAATATAAAATACCCAAATATGTGTATAAATCAACATATTTATAAATATAACATGAATATAAGCATGCAAATATTAATATAAATATTTTTATAAATTGATACGTGTATATAAGTACATATATGTGAACGTATATATAAAAGTGCATGTTGGCCCTGGCACAATTGCCTATTGATGAGGCAGCACAAACATGCTCATCAGATGTCTTCCCTTTATCTCGAATTTCCCAGCCTCCATAACAGTAATACACAAAACTCTGTTCTTTATAAAGTGCCAAGACCCATGGTACTTAGCAGAGCAACACAAACCAAACACTCTGCCTTTAGGTGTGGCTACTCGTCACATTGAGAAATGAAGTCTCCCCTTTAGCCCTGAGTTGGTGCTAGTTTTGTGACTTTGTCTGGTCAAGAGGTACCACTGGGTTAGTTTTGGGTCTGACCTTTAAGACCAGCATCCTCCACTTGCTGCTTCTTGAAACGCAGCTGTCTTGTAGAACACTGAGGCACTCTGAAATCACGGCACTGTGAGTTAGGCAGGCCTCAGCCATTCCTCTCACCCTGGCTGGGTGAAGAAGCCATTTTGGATACAATCTTGTGCAACTAAAGAACTGTCCAGCTGAGCTCCACCCTGACTTCAGAATCAACAGAAATAATCAACAGTGGTTGTTTTAAGCCGCAAGTAAGTTGTGGGGTCATTTGTTACACAGCAATAGATGACTGGACATCCTTACCTATACGTGTCTCCATAATCTCTATTTTCCTAAAAGAGAAAGACTCTGCAAGGTTCTTCAAGGCCTACTGTATCCAGGCTTCTCCAGGATTTTTAGTAACCCGAGACTTGAACCACATGAATTTGTCACTACTTCTGAACGTATCTGTCCTAGCTACTCCCGTTTCTCTATTTTAACTCCCTTGTTTAACCCTGTTTCTAGGCCCCGCTGCCACTTCCCTTTCCATTGAGATGACCACCTCCACTTTCCTCATTTTTGACCCTTCAAATTTCAGCACAAGGATGACACTCACTCTTAGCACACCCATCCTCTTGGTCTTGAATGTTGTCTAATGGCTAAATGTTCTGGAAAGCCTCTGTTTTCCTGTGATAGGCTGTTTGTTGTTCCCAAACATGAGCTCTCTTGAATTTGGGGCCTGAGTCTGAACAGCATCCAACTGAGGGTCTGCAGAGAGGAGGACCAGGAAAGCAGTCCAGCCGATGAGGACAGCGCCTCCTATCATTTACCACTAGAGTGGGATATTGGTGATCATTTCACCAGCTCCACCTTCATTTTAAACTCCCATTGCCATCACTCCGTAAAAATACCTGCTTTCTGCTAACAAGTGGAAAAACAAAGGTCATTGATTTTTTTTAAAAAACAAAGACAAAGACTTTTGATCCTTTTCTCTGCTTTTGAAGTCAGAAAGTGCCTGTACAGTGAGTCATTCCCTTGTCACTTCAACTCTGAAATGTAAGCTGATCACGGCAGGCAGTAAAAGCACACATGTGAAGCCCCAGAGGCACACAGATCCATGAGTGGAAACCCACAAAGACTGGCAGGACTGCTCCTGAAGAAAGGCGAGGGGCCACACCACAAAGGAGTGCTTCTGCTGCCCGGGGACACCTTACCTGTCTCCTGATGCACATGCTGGCCGCAGGCGTCAAGTATTTATGTTCCAGATACCAGGCTCGCTCCTCGAACACCAACTTTGTTCCATACAACAGACAAAACTAAAGGGAGGACAAGAGGAAAGAAATGGATGAATGGTGATACATTCAAAAAACTATTACCTGAGGAGGTGAAAGAGAGAGAACATCGTAGGACATTTCACAGTTGTGAAAGCTACTACTTCATTCAGGTAAGGTTTCAATATGCAGTGTAAGGTTTACTTTCTAAACATTCTACAGCAAATATTGAGATACAGACTAGAACAATGCACGCACCCATATCCATCTTCCAAGTCTGAAAATATTAATCCACAGCAAATCCTATCTTAGCCAGTTCTCACCCCACCACACACTTATTTAGGAGCAATTTCATGCAGAGTGCCTTTTACAATACGCTTAAAAAATCTGTTTGCTTCCCTTCTCAAACTATAAATGGATATTCCACATGCGTATTCTGGATAGAATCTTAATATTTTCCACCAACCAGGTTTTGATCATGCTTTCACAAAAATAATGCTTCCATTTATACTTTTTAATATTTTTTCCTTGTCACATTGCTCAAATCTATCATCTCAATAGGCACCAAGCACCCATAAATGAGTTTTCCTCATTACATTTTATTCATTGTTTATTTAACTGTTAATATTTGACACTTCCAAAATCACATCACAGTTGCGTGTCCAGGAGCAGGCAATGGTATAGTGCCAAGACCCTGAAGAGGAAGCCTGCAGTCCATATTGCAGTGAGTCCTGGCTCCACTTCGCATCCCAGCTTCCTGCTAATGCTCAATATGGGAGGCAGCCGTGAGAGTTCTGTAGCTGAGTCACTGCCATCATAGGAGACCTGGCTGGAGCTCTGGGCTCCTGGCTAGAGCCTGGCCCTACCCTGCATGTTGCGGGTATCTGGGCAGTAGAACGGTGGATGTGAGAGCTCTTTTGATGTCCTGTGCCTTGTGAATAAATGAAAAATAAATACACTAAAAACGCATAAACCAATATAGTGGACTTCAACATTTCTTTTACCCTGTCTCAACAGCTATCCATTTGTTGTCAATCCAGTTTTACCTCTGCTCCCATTCTTTCCCCTTTCTGAATGGGGGAATGTCACAGCATCTCATCCAAAACATTTCACCATTCATGTCTAAAAGCTAATGACTCATTAGAAGTGAATTTGTCTCAAAGTCAAGCTAAGCACTAACAACACCCTCTTATCCTATCCTGCCTTATGTGGAGACTGGGTTTAATTAAAAGGACAACTTACTCCCTGCAGAGTCTCACACTCAGTTTAGAATCTTGCATCATCCAAGAAGTACACTCTATGAATTTATGGAAATACAAGAAATATGAATGTATGGATTGACTCTAAGGAAAGGCATCTTGCCCTGGTGCATGTCTGTGTACCTAGAACCTGGGAGAGGAGCAGTAAGAGATGGGCTGGAATCCATTTCCTGCAACTGAGGACTACTGCTCCTGAGGATACAGAAATCCACGAAATATTCTTATAAATAGCCCTTTCAAGATGCTGACATTTTGCACATCTCTGTTCAAGATGACCAGCCTTGGCTGACAATCATTCACCTCTGATCACACAATCTCTATTCCTGTGTGGCTTGAATTTTATTGCCCAGACACAGAATTCTCTTCTTCAAAATGCCCCACCTGCAGGATAGGGTTGCCACGGATGCTGCATTTAGGTGTGCATACATCCTTTATTATTAAAAGGTATATTTATTTTTATTGGACAGTCAGATATACAGAGAGGAGAGACAGAGAGGAAGATCTTCCATTCAATAATTCACTCCCCAAGTGGCCACAATGGCTGAAGCTGAGCCAATCTGAAGCCAGGAGCCAGGAGCCTCTTCCAGGTCTCCCACGTGGGTACAGAATCCCATAGGTTTGGACTGTCCTCAACTGCTTTCCCAGGCCTCAGGCAGGAACCTGGATGGGAAGCAGAGCTGATGAGATTAGAACTGGAGCCTGTATGGGATCCCGGTTCATGTAAGGTGAGGACTTTAGCTGCTAGGCTACCACACTGGGTGATTTGAAAATCACCTTGTTGGTATGGCCCACCTGGACCTCCTGCAAATCTCCATGAATTTTGATTCAATCACCTTATACATTGGGTTGGATATCATCCACCTCTGTATCATAGAGCTCAGTGGATAGTCTAGCTCTTTTGATTTGAGTTATCTGTGAGCCTACTTAGTGGAATGTCATCTAGCTCAGATTCTTCTAGCTTGTCCATAAGAACATTCTGAGACTCTGGAAAAGTACAGGCCACAGTAAAAATTTACACTGTCCATTTCCTTAAAGTTTTTCTTTTTGGAACCGGATTAAACAAGTTCATCAAAGACCATGGCTGTCTCTTTTCTAGCTGAGAAAAAACTGTCTTGAATAACTGGGTATAGAATTTTATCTTGACTTTATCCCAACCCCAGATTCTATGGATTCCCAGATATATTTCAATTTTTGAAAACGTGGACATTTGTTTGTGCATTGATTCTAGACATCTGCCGGGGTTTCAGCTCTCTCTCAGCTGCAGTCCTCCCCAATGGAAACTACAGGGGGTAAACACTCCACTCTCTTCCTACCACTTGTTACCATCCAGCTCTTCTTACTCAAACTAGGGTCCATCATCTTTTAAAATCTGAACACAGTTGAAAACGACCCTTTCTATATGCATCAGATTACCGGAAAAGCCTCTAGAATGCTGGAATTTGGCCATCCTGACATTTATTAAGTGCTATTCCTTATGTTCTGGCCTTGCACAACTGTCCCTTGTGCCTTCAACCCTCTGCTCACTGTATACTTTCCTTAGATCCATGCTCATAACATAGCTCACTCTCTACTTCCATCTTTCTTTTTTACATGTGTCAAAAGTCATGACTCACCCCTTGCCCAAACACACACACTATTGTGGTGCCAGAATGCCATTCTGCTGCTTGGATCCTTCCAAGTTCACAAACATCTTCAAAATCTCTGCCCACTGAGTCACAATAGCCAGTACTTATTTTTTTTTTTTAACTTGGAAAGTCAGAGGTACAGACAGGGAATGACAGAAAGATCTTCCACTGGCTGGTTGACTCCCCAAATGACTGCAATTGCCAAAGATGGGCCAGTCCAAAGCCAAGATCCAAAAGCTTTTTCCTGGTCTCCCACACAGGTGCAAGAGTCCAATGACTTGGACCATTCTCTGCTGCTTTACCAGGCCGTAAGTTGGGAGTTGGACCAGGAAGTGAGCAACTGGGGCACGAACTGGCACCCCTATAGGATGCCAGTGCTGGAAGCCAGAGGATTAACCAATATTATCACTGTGACAGCTCTGATAGCCGATATTTATTTATTTATTTTTAAAGGCAGCACAGCACCCCAATTTTTTAAAAAAAACATTTATTTTTATTATTTTTTTTTTATTGGAAAGGCGGATATACAGAGAGGAGAGACAGAGAGGAAAATCTTCTGTCCGATGATTCACTCCCTATGTGAGCACAACTGCCGATGCTATGCCGGGCTGAAGCCAGGAGCCTCTTCCGGGTCTCCCACGCGGGTGCAGGGTCCCAAAGCTTTGGGCTGTCCTCAACTGCTTTCCCAGACCACAGGCAGGGAGCTGGAAGGGAAGCGGGGCTGCCGGGATAGAACCGGTGCCCATTTGGGATCCCGGGCGTGCAAGGCGAGGACCTTAACCACTTGCGCCACCGCGCCGGGCCGAGTACCCCAATTTTTAAAGATTTATTTATTTTTATTGGAAAGTCACATATCTAGAGAGAAGGACAAAAAGAGAGGAAGATCTTCCATCTGATGATTCACTTTCCAAGTGGCTACAAGGGCCAGAGCTGAGTCAATCCAAAGCCAGAAGCCAGGACCCAGGACCCAGGGACCAGGAACTTCTTCTGAGTCTCCCACATGGGTGCAGGGTCCCAAGACATTGGGCCATCCTCGACTGCTTTCCCAGGTCACAAGCAGGGAGCTGGATGGGAAGCAAGGCTGCCGGGATAAGAACTGTTACGCATATGGGATCCTGGCGCATGCAAGGCAAGGATTTTAACCATTAGGCTACTGCACTGGGCCCGCCAATGTTTCTTAAGCACTTACTACGTGCCATGCACCAAAAGGAATTTCACTTTAAACTTCCTTAGTCCTCACAATAATTCTGGAAGGTCGTTGTTACAGTTCTATATGGGAAAGGATTATCTTAACAGCCATGAGTTGTCCTCCAAATTCAGGATTGGCCCTTGCTTGGCTCCTGCTAAGAGACTTTCAAGTCCTTGGATTATGTTGCCTCATAAGAATATCTTTGTATTCCTGAAGTGACCACCACGATACTTTATGCTAACCATGCAATTTGTGGTGGGGGCTTGTTTTTATATGCCTGAGGCTTTGGGCCACTTGCAGGGCTGTGGTGTGAGGAGCCGAGGTCAGGTATATGAGTGCAGTATGTTTATGTGACGGAGCCCCAGCAAAGACCACATGTGTCAGCCTCGCCTGACCTGGCTGGGAGCACTTTGAACATGCCGTCACATGTCATCGTTGAGAAAAGCGGTACTGCTCGTAGAGCTGTATTAGGAAGGGACAACAGGAAGCTCGCTGGTCCTTCCACAACTTCGCCCCATAGCTCTTCTGTTTGCTGATTTTAACCTGATTGCCCTCACTGTGCTGAACTGTAGCTACAGATATAATCATTTGGTTAAATACTGTGAGCCCTTCTGCCAAGTATTTGAGCTCCAAGGTTCACTTACACATGAAAGACAGAGGGACCAAAGAAATGTAAATGAGAAAGCAAAGATTGAAATTAATTCTTTCAAAGTTTGTTTTTTCCTGTTTCCCATTCAGAGTGTCTGCACGTCTCAAGAGAGACACCTCTTAAGGCATCCCTCGTCTCTCCCACTGGCCATTTCTTGTCTCTTCCACTGGGCATTCCTCGTCTCTCCCACTGGACACACTCATGAGTCATGGACAGGGGGCATTAGAAGCTACATGAGGAGTTTGAGACATAAACAGTGGCCAGAAGATTGAGGAAGAAAAAGGCTCCTCATGATGGTGATGACGTTAACTTTTCCTTTACTA